CCCCAAAATTACGCCATTTCTCACCGGAGAGAACCATGTAATCATTTTTTCGCCATTAATGCAGGTGCTAAGTCATCCTATATTCAAGCGTATTAATGTGGTTACTGATCCTGTTGTGACAAAGGGTCAGGAGGTATGTTGTGATCCTTTATTCTTTCGTTTTAGATCTTTAAGCTTTTCTCTTAAGTTCGTTTTTATTATTATGCGCCTTTCTTTTATTCATACCAGCGCACCCATCTAGAAATAGAAATTCAAAAGGGCTGACAAAAAATGTCATATTAAGAAGTGACATTCATACATAATTAAGAAATGAATTTATTATGTCTCATTTGTTGTTCATTTCTTCATAATCAAGAAAAGTTTAATTCTTAAGTGTATTGTGTTTATCTTTTTTTGGGGGAATTAAATCCGTCATTAAGAGAATTTTGGAATTTTTGTTATGTTACTATTACTTAATTGCTATGAAGAACTCTATTGAACATAATATTGCGTAATATGTTTGGGATTTATCTTGATGATAATGTAATAATTGCATTGTTATAGAATACGCAAACTGATCTTTTGGTCTCTTCTTTAATTCCGACCTTTTTTGGATGGACAGATTGCCGAGGACGTGCGGGAAAGATGGGAAACAAGTGATAGCCCGATTGTTCATAAAATTCAAGAGTATGGTGCTCAATCACTTTTATACGAATTTTGATATTACAATTTACACCCAAGTGATAAAATATACAAGTCCTGATTGACTATTGTCTTCTCAACAGCATCAATGAAACAATCTTTCAGGAAACAGATGCTGCGGCAACCATTAAGGAGATTCGCTATCGAGATCCGTATGATCATATATGCCCTTTGTTGTTTGGTTCAAAATCAATATTATGTCGACCACTTTTGATGTCTCCTTGTTTAATCATTTTTCAATATTTGTATGCATTAGGTCATTCTCATTGCCCGAGTTTGTTGCTGAAGTTCAGGAAGCTATTAAACCAGTGTTGAAAGCGTACACCGAGGTGCACTTGAGTTTTTTTAAGAATACCAGAATTCCCTCCCAATCTCCATTTTTGTTTTCTTTTCTTTCCTTGGTCAATTTTGTTCTCTAAAGAATCATTGTCTTATTCTTTTCAATATGAATGGTGGGATGTGTCTACCACCGGGATATCTCATTTTATGGATATTTTACTAAAATCACAGGGAGATGTTGAAACTTTGAAGAAGTTCTGCACCAATGAGGTGATTGAGCGGTGTAAAGCTGAGCATAGTGCTTATCAAAGCCATGGCATCTTTTTTGACAATAAGGTACGCAAAACGGTGAAAGGAATGAAATTTTCTCAAGTGCCTTGTCAACTCCTACTTTGAACATGTAATTGTGTGTAATGTTGCTGACATACGATGTTCTTGCTGCAGATTCTACATATATCCGAGGTGGAGGTTAGAGAGACGAAAATGATGGGAACCTCCCCAGTTATCATCGTAGCGGTATGCATTGTCTTTAATTTTTCTTGTATCTCAACGCCAATCATATTAGAAAATTTTACTCGTGACAAAAGCTGATGTTGTTGCTTCTTTCAACTGTATCTTCACAGTTCCAAACACAGCAAGTTTATTGCGTACGAGACAGAAATGGCGCAATAACAGAAGGTGGCCAGGTGAGTTATCATAAACGACGTTGTTCGTGAAAGGGCAGCAGCATTTTCTTGGTTTTTTGGTTCTTGCTTATTAACGTTTTCTTGGGATTGTAGATTATTATGCTAACGTTTGAAAATCATGGTTGGTAATTGATTAGGATACGATCCACACGGTATACTACGCGTGGGCAATGCAACAGATTGACCCCGAAGAGCTGGGCGAAGGCGCTATTTACCCAATATGGAAACTAAGAGAAATGCAACAGCTTGGAGTTCAAACCCTCATCTAGTTCTTCGTACATGTTAGGATTTTTCTCATTTGCTTGGTGTAAAACTTCTCTGGGTTTTGTTTTTCACTGCCAGGGAAACTTTATAAGTGAAGATTCCTTATTTATTATTTATTCGAATAAAAAATTCAACTCTACTGTGTATAAATTCTCATCTCATCGGAGTGCTAAGAGTTAAAGCTACTACTCCTAACAAAACTCTTTGACATATGTTTTCAATAAATCGATATAAAATAATAGGTAAAATGATCTTTCTACCACCATCTTGCAAACAATTGTGCCGCCACAAGGAGGATTCAATGTTCATCTTGTATGTGTGTTAATAAAGGATATTTTAAGTTGGAAAAATTCAAATATGACAATCAAGAAAGGTGCATAATTTTTTTCTCCCTAGAAAAGCCATTATGTTCTTTTTTCTCCCTAGAAAGGCCATTATGTTCAAGTATTAAAAATGTGTTTGAATTGGTTTCTTGGTTAAAATGAATGGACGGAAAACTAAATTTTGGTAGTTCAATTATATTATGAACCACTATCATTTGATCCCGGTTGGGTGAGAAGTTATTGGAGTTTTGCTACAATAAATTGCCAAATGGGCACTTATGGCCCACTTTCCATTTAAGTCCATAACAAAAGAGAAAATCATACAAAATGCATGATCATCAACCCTAAAAAAAATGATAAAAGTTCTAAGTTTCACTTATAGTTCTTGACCTTAAGTCCATAACAAAAGAGAAAATCATACAAAATGCATGATCATTAACCCTAAAAAAAATGATAAAAGTTCTAAGTTTCACTTATAGTTCTTGAACAAAAAAATAACAACCGCCATACATAAGGGCAACTGTATAGTTCTAAGTTCAACAACCTGTATTAGCACAAATCTAGCGGAATAAGGTTAAATGACACTCGTGTAAGTGGTTGAAAGATTTATGATGAGATTAATGTCCTTTGCGCAGATGAAGGAATTAACACTGAAGAAATTATTCACCTGAAAATAGGAATTTTGAGACATTTTAATGGCATAACCGAACAAATCTTACAAAATTCAAATTTTGGAAGCAATTTGAAATTACAGACGAAGGGCCGTTTGGAATAGCTTGTGTTTGTACTTTAAGTAGTAGAAGAAAATAAGCATAAGTTGAAACTTTTTAATTAGTGTTTAGATAGTATCTAAAAAAGTGCTTTTATATCTAAGAAAAGCCTTTGAACTTGATTGAATAAAAAAGTCAAAAACACTTACCCTTATAAAAAGTAATGTAATAAAAAGATATAGATAGAATATTTAATTTGTTGTTCACAAATAAAATGTTAAAAATATAAATAAAAAAGTTTTTCATAAGCATTAAAGAGATAGTTTGTTTTAAAAACGCTTAAAAAAACTAAAAACATTTTAAGATTGTCCATTCAAACAGATTTAAAAGTATTTTTTGACTAAATAAGTCAAACAACTTTTCTTAAGTTAATCCGAACGCCCGAAGTTTAGGAGAAATTTGGGAAATTAGTCTTAAGAAAATGGTGAAAGAATTCAAGTCAAAGTTCTGACAAAGCAAAAGCAACGAGATGAAAGTATGAACAAAGGAATTATACTGAGACCTCGTTCACTTCGCGGATTCGAGTTTTCAATTCGAGCTGGGATGTGACATTTTCTAAGAGCTTTTTACTGTAGCAGAAAAAGTTAGATGTAACATTTTCTAAGAGCTTTTTACTGTAAAAATCTAAAACTGAAAACTCGAATCGGTAAAATGAACGAGGCCTGAAAGAAACCACTTAATCCGGCCAGGATACTAATATCAAAGAAATTTCAAAAATTCTGAAAAAACAAAATCCAAATATTCTAGAAAAAGAAAACATTGCCACGAAAGCAAAGGAAAAGAAAAGAAATAAATAGATAAATAAAGTCGAAAGGAAGAGCATTATGCTAAATTTATTTATTTATTTTTAAGAAGGGACAAGAATAAACAGGTAAAATTGGAGATTCAATTTTCAACTACTAATTGTAGACAGTGCATTTCAAACGCAACTGGAGCTTCCAAAACTGGTTGTGTATGAGAGCCAAATATGCATGGATTTGCTGTGGAATTACCCAACTAATAGCAAATAAACAATTCACACAACAGACATAAATCAACAGTATTGGTACCCCTTATCAAGTAAGGCATAACCAAGGGGAGAGAAACTTGCTATATTATGAAAACAAGGGGAAAAAATAGAAAAAATCAATAAGAGGCGAAAAAATCCTGCACAGTGAGCTTTTATGATGAAGCAAAGAATAGAGCAGCAATGAAACGTTGCTGCTAGTACTTCAGTCTTTTAAGGAAGGCGGCACAACTGAATCAGCTGAGTAATACTGCTGTGAAATCCCCTCATCCGTGCCATAAAATGACTCATTAGTTACATTCTCTTCTCGCTGAGAGCTGGAATGACAGAGCTCCTCGATTCGCCTTGTCACCACAGCCATTGGGGGACGCTTGTCAGGGTATTGCACGGTACAATCCAGAGCAAGCTGCAAAAGCTCTACCATTTCATCCTCAACATTCTGGTACCTGAGAAGCTCGAGGTCAAACACCTCTACAGTCCACTCTTCCCGAACCACAGACTGGACCCATCTCGGAAGGTCAACTCCTTCATCGTTCAACTGGGAATGAGTGGGAGGCTTCCCAGTGAGCAGCTCCAAGAGCAGTACACCGAAGCTGTACACATCTGCTTTAGGGGATACTTTGTGAGGATCTGTGACTTCTGGGGCACGGTAACCAGCAACGCGGTGGTTAGGGGTAGGGTCGGGGTTTGCAAGATGAGCAAGGCCAAAGTCTGAGACACGAGCTTCATAGGATCTCGTGAGGAGGATATTCGAAGACTTGATGTTTCCATGGGACGAACCGTGTGAATGCAGGTATGCAATCCCACGAGCAGCTCCAAGGGCAATGCCAGACCGTGTTTCCCAGTTCAGAGGAGTCCTGCCTGCACCGTTGCTTCCTGTTGTGTATAAATAAAAATAATAATAATAATAATAAAAAAAATAAAAACAAAAATGATGTTATAAAGAAAGGTGAAAAGGCAAGCATAGTCCCGCATATAACAAATATCATTCTTTTAGATCTTCCTGTCGTTCCTAGATTTCTAGTAGACGACAATTTATTGAACATGTGTATATCCATATACTACAATCAATGCACAAGGGATATGCCGATTCTTTTAACAGGCAAAAACTAAAAGCTAAAATGAAGGGATTGCTTGTTCACCCCTTTCAGATGTTCATAAAAAGAAAATCAGTGTCTTTAAAGCAGTCAAAATACTTTTATTTAAAATCAATAACGTACTTTTCAAGAAAAGAAAAGAAGTTATATTGCAAAATAAAAATATATGAAAGGAAAAGCGTGAAGAATGAACCACTGAGTAGGAAAGAAACACAGCGCATGTCCAGATCTGTCCTATTGACAAGTTGACAACCTAGTAAGCAGAAGAATTCAAAAAGCAAAGACATGGCTACATGCCACGTGAAAGTACACATAATAAAGGCAAAAAATGACAAAAGTTGAACCTTTTCTCACGGAAAAAAGAAAAGCAGAACAAATTGTTAAGATCACAAAAAACTGAACATTCCCTTGAACCGTCCAAGCCATGTCCAACTACAAGACATGTTCTTCTATCTTTAGTTTCATTCAAGTTAAAATGTTGACAAAGTATGGGAAGGATGCCTGAACATAGGATAGTATAACAGCCTAACATACAACTTCAAGTGGTATCCACGGTTGATTTAATGCTTAAACGGAAAACTTAAGACGCCTTGAGCGCGTCTAGTAAGATGGGCTACAAATCTAGTTGCTCAAAGACCAGACTTGAAGTTCTATGTTTCCTAGAAACTCAATTTCCAGTATACAGTTCCTCATTCTGTTTCACTTCTACCGTCCAAAACTCTCGCCCAAATAGGGTTCGTCTAATTGCTGTGTTGGTTTACATTATAAGCATGGGAGAGTAGCAAAGTTATAAGTAAATTGCAATCATGACACCGATCTTATAGGACATAAATGGACTGAAGAACATATAAAACAAGTTAGAAAACCAACCAGAAGGCCACAGAGCAAGGAAACCAAATAAATAATAAAGACATTAGGACGGATTAAGTACTAACAATATAGAGAATATATATATTTATATATATCTATCGACATTAAGACAAAGAACAAGGCAAGCGTCCAAATGACCAGAAACAAAAGGCTGAAACAATGGCAGCAAAAGCAGAATCAGAATCAGAATGCAAGTAAGCGAGAGATGCAATGCTAACCGTGCAAAAGTGCAGACAAGCTTCCCATGGGCAGGTAATCATAAACAAGAAGCTTCTCATCCCTGCTATAGTAATAAGCCCTGAGTGGCACCAAATTCTCATGATCCATTCTTCCAACCTGTTCCATCCTTTCCCTGAACTCCTTCTCCGGCGCAGTCCCTTCCTTCAACCTCTTCACTGCCACGGAAATCCCCATCTCCAGACTTGCCTTATAAGTCGTCCCAAAAGTCCCCTTCCCAAGCACCTCTGCGGATGCCCTCAACAGATCCTCCAAATCAAACTCCCTAATGGTATTCCCAAAAAACACCAAATTCCTGATCCCGCCAGCGCCCCTTTTCGCGCTCACTTTCGAATAATCACCACTCAAACTCTCACTCTCCATCGCCGCCTTTCCTTTTGGAATTTCGACCTCTGTCATCTTCGGGATGATTTCCTTCTCACCCTTTTCTTTTCTCCGACACAAGAAGATCAAAATAGCAAGAATGATCAACACCCCAATGACACACCCCATCACAATCCCCACAATTGCTCCAGTAGACAACTTATTATCCTTCTTCTCGCCAGTTCCACTCCCATCACACGATTTCAATGGCTTCCCACAGAGAAAATTTCCTAGAAAAGAATCCGCCGAAAACCTCGCAAGCTTATCGGGAATCGACCCGTTCAATCGATTAAACGACACATTGAATTGGTCAAGTTCAGGCAAATCAATATCCGGAATTGAACCAGTAAAGCTATTATTCCCCAAATACAGAACCACCAACCTCTTCAAGTTACCAAACCGCGGCGAAATCTCGCCGGAGAAGATATTATCAGCTAAATTCAATCTCACCAAACTCTTCATACCAAACAAGAAGTCAGGAACTTGTCCAGAGAAAAAATTACCTTCCAAGTGAAGCTCGCTGAGACCACTGAGATTTCCGAGGTCGGCTGGGATCGGACCGGAGAGAGCATTAAAACGAAGAGAGAGCTTCTGCAACCGAGTCAAATTCCCGAAACCGGCAGGGAGGTCGCCGCTGAGTCCAGCGCCGGGAAGCCGGAGCTCGGAAACTCCGATGGAATCGCACCTCACGCCAAGCCACGAGCACGGCGAGGAGAGCGAGGTGTTCCACCGGAGAGTTCGGCCGCCGAGGAAGTTTCTGAGGTTGATTAGAGTCGCTCTGTCGGATTCTAGGTCGGATTCTCCAATCGGAAGAAGAATTAAGCAGAAAAGGAGCAAAATTGCGGTCGATAACGGCGGGTCCTCCATTGTTCTTGATCGGAGGACTAAGATTCTTCAGGCTTCGACCAGCAAAAAGATTCTTCAGTCTTCCACCAGCAAAAAGATTCTTCAGTCTTCTTCGTGTCTAGTGCTAGTTTCGGCTATTCGCTCTGGTTTTCCGGAGCCTGTTTGGCGTCCGAGAAAGTGAAGGAAAAAGGGAGGGAAAACGGGAACACACGTTTTGGTGGGTTTGGGGGGTAGTTGCGACCAATTAAACCCTTCGAACCTTGCTTTAAAATTTCAAAAGAAAAAGAAAGCTTTTTTCTCCTCTCTCTCTCACTCTCGGAGAAAAAAGTTTGAACTTTGAAGAGCCTTTGGCTGAGCTGGAATTCTACGGAAGGAAGGAGTTTTGATAGGGTACGGTTGGGGTCTAAACGCAAATAATGTTGTCGCTGACTTTTTGGCCCGTCTGTTGCAGAGAGGATTAAGCAATGGGGTAAAAAAATAATTAAAAGAAAAAAAACACATAAAAAACAAAGCAGGGGGTAACGGCAGTATAATCTATGGGTGGGCAATTCGTGTCACGTGTCGTATTTGTATCGTGTTTTAATTATTTTTTTAAAATTTGTAGTCAACCTGAACGCGACTCGTGACACAAAATTTTTTAAAAACCGCAACACGAACACGACACGACCCGAAAATGACCCGTGACACGAAATTGACTCGTGAATTTGAAATTGACACAAAAATTGTATATTTTTATTTAGTTTTTTACATATTAGAAATAACTTAAAATTCATAACACACTAAATTACAATAACATCCATTGAAATTAAGCAAATAATAATATAAGATTTTGAGTATAACAATCATGATATCACAAGTTTATAATAAAATTAAAAATATGTAATGAAAAATATATGTATTTTTTAGTTTTTTACGAGTTTCATGTAGTGTTCGGGTTAGGCGAGTCCAACCTGAAATTGACCCGTATTTTTCGTGTCAATTCCAGGTCGACCCAATTCTAACCCGAATCTCTTTTTTCTCAACCCTAACCCGCAAAATTCGTGTCATTTTCGAGTCGTGTCATCGTGTCGTGACCCATATTACCAGCCCTAATATAATCTGAAGATTCCAAACTCAAATTCATGTCAATCATAGGTTTAAATTTATTCATGTCCCTTTTATATTCCTAATAAAATTATGCTATATTAATTAAAATATTTTAACTTTCATAATTTTTTAATTAATATTTACATGCTATTTTAATTAATATGGTAATTTAATTGAAAGGCATGAGGTCAGATTTTTCAAAATATTACTAATGTTTCTTATAAGCACACTTATGTTTATTTTGTTGTTAATTATTTATTTATTTTTTAATTAAAAATAAAATAAGAAAAATTATAAGAGTGGCTTTTGGTGTAATAATTTACGAAGCTAATCAATCAAATTTGTGATTGCTTCAAAATTAATAGTGATAATTTTTTAATAATAACAAATATTAAATTAATCTTTTTAATTTTTATTTATTTTAAATCTGTTTAATTCGTTAAGTTGCGATATAATTTTATGTAAAAAAATTTTATTATAATAAAAAAATTAAATATGATTATTTTTAAAAAAAAATTACTATAATAAATTTTAAATTTTAAACTTGAAATTAACCATTTTGTGAATTTATAAAAAAGCAAATTACAACTGTGTGAGCCGGGACCAAAGTGTCAGCCGTTGTCCCCTTGTGTCTGTTAAGGTGGGATCCACAGAACCGTTTTGTAGTACTTCTTTATTAATTTGGGTAAGGTTCCAAATGGACCCCATAAAGATCGCAAGAGAGAGTCTAATAGGACTTTTTGGAGCTTTGTTTTGGTGCCAGCCTTCACAACGTGCTTTTATTGGATTTCTTCTTATCTTATTTTATTTTATTTTTTCTCTTTTTTTTTTCCTCCCTCCCAAAAGGCTTCCAGATTCTCGGAGTTTGGAAGGACATGTTTTTTTAGAATATGATTTGAGTATAATTTTTAAGTTAAATTTAAGTTATAATTTGAGTTAAAGTTATAACTTGAGATTGTATTTAGTTGTGTATATTTGAGTTATGGTTTGAGATAAAAATCTTTTTTAAATTTGTATTTGAGTGAGTCAAAACTTAAATTTGTATTTAGATAGTATTTTAATAAAAACTCAATAGTGATGAAAAATTTTAATAGGGTATATGGGTGAGATTTTATTCGTCTTTTCGTTGTCAACGCATAGAAAAAAAAACCATCTCAATCATGATTGAAACGAAAAAGTTATAGCATTTTTAAGAATAGAAAAAATATTGTTCATTAATTTGAGTTCGAGTTTCTGAATTCGAGTTGAAGGGGACACTTGAACTCAAATTTTAGTCCCAAACTACTCGAATTTAAACTTAAAAGAACACGAACTTAAATAAAGTTAAAACTTGAGTTACTTTTTTGAGTTTTTGGGCAGCCGAACACACCCAAAATAATTTATTGAAAAGTACAAATGCTTGATTTCGACTTTACAATTTTTTATTGTTGTTATTATTAAGAAATAAGAAGGGACATACGGAAATGGAAAGAATCGTTGCCAATAATCAAAACATGATTCCTTCAAGATACGTATAAAAAAATTGCTTGTAATACCGATGCATCTAAGAGGTAAAGTGATTATTTTTATTAATTTTTAAAACATTCCTGCACTCTCTTAAGCAATATAGATATTAGATATTCTAAACTCAAAATGTAAATAACTAACGTTCAAAAACTAGCAACAGAAATTTTCTTTCTCCTTAATAGATTAAATTTCCCTTTCTCTTTATTATTCTTTTCATTGTCTTAAACAATCTTTATTTTTATTACTTTTACATCCTTTTCACCATTATAATTTTAAGGTAATTCTACGGTCCATCTAATAATGTGCGGTGGACCGGTTCGTCCCTTATATGTGGACCGCTAATTAAAAATGTGTTGTTGGCTTTCACTGATGGGTATAAATTGTGTATTGTATAGTTATTAGAAGTCAATCCGGTAGTTGAATTTATTTTATTTTATTTTTTTTTTTGTTTTACAGATGGTTTTTGGCAAGCGCATGTCGTTTTTAGACAGAGAACTTGTAGAAAACATTGTTGTCTTTAGAAAATATTTGAGAGTTTCGCTCAAACTGAAAAGTATCGAAGAGATGAGGAGAGTGATTGAAGATTTGGGAGTCATTGAATTAACTAGAAAGTTCATCATTAATTGTTTTTAAATACAAAATGGAAGATCCATATTCACTTTTATCTAAATTATCACCGCCAAGTGAGGTGGCGGAAAATTTGTCACGCATGGTGGATGATATAATTTCTACGCATATTTAATGTCTTAACAATTAAAATTTTATATGTTAGTTTTCGTCTTATTTGATCGCTGAAATTTGGGAAACGAACTAGTTTTGCAAGTATTTCTTTGACGCTCTCTATACTAGTACTAGCACTAGGCCCTACGAATAAAAATACTTGGATCACACTACATGCCCGAGGGGCTTCTTCCTAAACATGTTTTTCCTTTTCCTTTTTACCTGAAAAAAAAAAAAAAAAAGTAAGAGCCCGTTTAGTAAAGAGATTCGTATCCTGATTCAAATTATGATTCGTGATTCGTTACAGTATTTTTTCTCAAAAAAATATACATAAATTAAAAATAATTCTAATCACATAGTTTTAATCTATAAACCAAACGGGTTCTTATATTTTCGTACATGTTCGATATTCAAAAAAGCAAAACACTGTTGCAATTTCTATTCAAAGAAATTCATAAAGTGACGTTTAAAAACCATTCATAAATCAATGTTTAAAGAGAAAAAATCTCTTTTCCCTTCCCAATCTGACGACTTCACCACTGAATATCTCCGGCCTCAGCTCCGTTCATACGTCACTGGTATCTTCGGCGGCGCCGCCTCTTCCGAGTCCTAATTAGTAGCGTTTCAATACAATGGCTCTCATTGCCTCCTCCGGATGGTGTAATCAACAACACAACACGAATTACTGCAAACGCAAAAAAACAAAAAAAAACAAAAAAAAACAAAAAAACAAAAAAAGAAAAGAAAAAACCCCTTTGAACAGAGAGAACACAGACGTGATAAATGGCTGAGATATGGTTTCTTGAATACCTTCGAAAGTGAGTTGGGCAGTTTTTTGTGCATCCGCATTTTGAAGACAGACAAAAACCGCTTGCTTTTTTTTTTTTTTTAAATTTTAAATGCAAAGTAGCTGACATTTGCTTCTACTCCTCCATTAAGTGATTAAAAATTAAATAATGACGTGGCCTTATATTATTAGGTGGACAGAGATTGAGACATCCTTCTTTCCACAGAGGATCTCAGTCCGTTTAACATTGATACAAGTCTACCTTGTTACTACGTGCGTACATCCCACGTTGTAAATTATAAACTCGAATTAGTGAAATAAACAGTGGTCTCGTTCGTTTCGTGAGTTTGAGTTTTCAATTCGAGTTGAGATGTGATATTTTTTTAGAATATTTTACTGTAAAAGAAAATATTAAATGTGACATTTTTTAAAAATTTTTAACTGTAAAAATCTAAAACTTCAAACTGTGAAACGAAATCTTAAAAGCATTTTGAAATAACTGTATGAATGCCATACTACTTATATAATTACATTAATGTCATTTCAACGGTTCACACTCACCGGTTGTAGACCATTATTTAAAGTTGTCGTCTGCTATCCTATGGCTGTATTTCATGGCTGTCTCCAAACTTTCTAACACAATTTCACTGCAGCATCATTCAGTTGTGACAAGACTTTTAATCATGCGTTCAGGATTTTACTTGAATTTTAGATGTAATTTCTTTGAGGCTGTCTCCAAACTTTCTAACACAATTTCACTGCAGCATCATTCAGTTGTGACAAGACTTTTAATTAATCATGCGTTCAGGATTTTACTTGAATTTTAGATGTAATTTCTTTGAAAAATACCCATATATGAAAAAATAAAAAATAAAACTGTATGTTTGAGAGTAAGGGCCAATCTTAAATGAATATGACATAACTTGGACAACTTTATTGCATTGATAAGTTAATAATAGACCCCATCCTACTAACAATTTCACTTCAGAAAGCGTGTGATATTAGATCATAATAATCTCAATAATTAATTTTGGTTCAATACTAAAAAGAAAGAAGACTTTAGTCGTGGCCCTTCATTTACGAAGATGGGGAAATCTGACAAGAGACAACAACCATCACTTGAGTTTTCTTTACAATGCGTGTTCTTAGTTCATAGTTTATTTGAATAGTCATTCTCCAAGTCTACGTTTAATTAATTCAAAATTGACCTTTTCATGAAACTGTAATCTCATGACAATTTACTGCTCTATATTTAATTGTCATCTACCATATCCAAAAAATAATTATAACAAAGCAAGTTTCTAAATCGTAGTACAACTACTAGATTTTCATGTTTAAACATAAATTTTATAGAGGTAAAATTGCTTTAGTCCGGTGAGCCAACTATAATACATTCATTTTCATTAAACTTTTATCTAATATAATTTTTTCTCTCAGTGTATAATGTGAGATTGACTCTGTGTCATTTTAACTCAATCTCCATTTCTTTTTATCTCATATCGTTAGACAAAGTAATTGTTGCCGAAGATGATATCCTTAAATATGAAATAATAACAGATAAATATAATAATAATAATAATTGGTTTTTAACTTGAAAAAAAAAAGTGAGGGTGACTAGCCACGTCGATGTACGTCATTATGTAAATTAAAATAATTTTATAAAATAAATTAAAATGACATTGTTGGTGACAACCGTGCATCTTATAGACTATAGTTTTGTAATGTCAGCCGTACATGAAAGACCAATGCATCATTTGGACCAAGAACGCAAGTTATGATAGAATTCCAATTGATTATTCAAAATTGGGATGAAGAGAGATTAGTATCAATAGCGGATTGGTTAGATAGATTTGATTGGGTCATCCACCTTAAGTTCGTCAGCGTTTGCCTTTTATTCCAACTTTGAATTAGCATCCTTTTAGTTGCCGTTGTGAATAATGCAAACTATAGATGTGATTTGAAACACGGACAAATTTTCAAAATGAATGATTTGAGGGGCCTTAGTTCTTATTTTAATTATAATGTTAAAAGGAGTAATAAGGCAAGATGCCCTTCTTTTTACATGCAACTGTTTAAACGTCACAGGGTTAGTTGGTATTGAAAATATAACCATCTACTAATAGAATGGAGATAATCATATGCTGTATAAATTTGAAATAATAATAAAGATTCCGAATATCAATACATAATCGAACTTGAAAAGCTCCAACAACTTTGGTTATTATTGATCAATGACAATTGTCACAGTATGTACCAAACACTACGTGTCAAGAATTCTGACGATGTCAATGGAGTAATGCTATCCAGCACCGATAGAGTTTAACACTACATATTAATAAAAATAAAAAATAGGTTCCGCAATGATTATAAAATTTATAGGTGGGATTCACTTTCTATTAGTGATAGTGTTTAGCACCGATGATGTCTCTAAGTATTTTTTATGTCAATACGCTCAGAATCCTTCTAAACAATCACGAGTTGAAGATCAAAAATCTCAGCAGAGAAATTTAGGCCTCGTTCATTTCATCGATTTGAGTTTTCAATTATAGGTTTTTACAGTTAAAAGCTATTAGAAAATGTCACATTTAATTTTTTCTGCTACAGTTAAAAACTTTTAAAAAATTTTACATCTCAATTCGAATTAAAAAATCAAATATGCGAAGCTAATGAGACCTTAGCATTGTTTTCTAAGGAGAATCCATGACTTCCAGTGTAATAGTGGACCTACCAAGACTTAAAGGTTGTTTATTTTCTGTATTCATCACTGATTTTGAATTATAATTCATTATTCTCTTTAATATTTTTTTTTCATAAAAAATACACGTAAAATAAAAATAATTTTAAATCATAATTTTTAATTTACGAACAAAGCGTCCATTTATTTAAAGGACGGACATTAATTAAAAAGAACAAGGAAAAAAAAACTCATAAGACCGGAAGAGAATATTAAAAGCAGGAAAAATGACTTAACAAATAGGAGGACGAGCTCACCACAAATTGGTGATGGTGTTTGCATCCAATTCATTCTTGGTATCTGGTGACCTATACCTGGTAATTTGGGCTTTGAATTCTGTGCCATGTCCATACTCATACCCTTCCCAGCGTCACTATATAAGGGTACTTTCGTCATTTAGAGAGAGTTTTATATATAGTGATGAGCTAGAATGCGGCGCAAGCATTCTCAACGTACGCTTTGGTTTGGAGAAGAAGAAGACTCTGTACTATCAACTTGGATTTATTTTCGTTTTATTTATAAAAAAGAAAAAGGGTAGATTTATTTCCATACACGTCGCTGCTGAATAATAATAAAAAAAAAATCCTCACCGGCCAAATGACGAATGACGGACGGTTAATGTCGTTTTTATCTTGCGCACGTATCTAATTCCGCCCAGCACTTTAAGGTCCCGTTTATTTCGCTGATTTAAATTTAAAATTTAAATTTTGTTATAATAAAAAGTTCTTACAAACAGTCACATTTAATTTTTTTACTACAGTAAAAAACTCTCACATAAAGTCACATCTAAACTCGAATTAAAAACTTAAATCAGCGAACTAAACGAGCAATTAATTTTTTTTGTTGTCCCTTTTCGGCCGAAAGATCAAAGTGGCTGGGCCAGTCGGGAAAATGAAAACTAAAAAAAAAAAAAAAAGAGGTAATTTTGAGATACTAAGGGGCTGTTCGGTAGGGTTAAAAATTTAAAAAAAGATAACTCGAGTTTCAATTTTATTCAAGTTCATATTCTTTTAAGTCTGAACTCAAGTTTGAGACTAAAACTCGAGTTCAAGTTTTCCCTTCAACTCTAGTTTAGAAACTCGAGCTCAAATTAATGAACAATATTTTTTATATTCTTAAAAATGTTATAACTTTTTCGTTTTAATCCTGATTGAGATGATTTTTTTCTATACATTGACAACGAAAAGACGAATAAAACCCCACCCATATACCCTATTAAAATTTTTCATCACAATTGAGTTTTTATTAAAATACTATCTAAATACAAATTCAAGTTTTGACTAACTCAAACACAAACTCAAAAAAAATTCTTATATCAAACCATAACTCAAATGTACACAACCAAACACAAACTCAAGTTACAACTTCAACTCAAGTTATAACTCAAATTCAACTCAAGAACTACACTCAAGTCACACTTCAAAAGAACAAGCCCTAAAGTTTCGGCGATTGAAAAGAGATGAGGTTTGAATATATATATATATATACATACAACATTTACAAATAGATGTGTCCTAGAAAAGAATATAAGTGATTGTAACTTTACAAATAATGTAGCAAATACAACATTTCAATTTCCAGTATGCAGCACTCATCAATTGAAAATTGCACACTCTTTGTTAAAAAAAAAAAAAAATACAAATGCCGTATGTTTACTTGTGTATATGTATGAATATACAGGTGTTGGTAATATTGTGCGAGTACTTACAGAATCTAAATTGTCAATGGGCTCTCCAAGCACGTTGAAAATTCATCCTAGTATCACTCCATCAATTTAAGTGACTCCATCAATTGGAACACTTAAAGAACTCATGTGTGAATCACTTTCATTCCTCTCATTAGATCATTTGTATCACTCATTTGTCAATCACTTTCATTCCTCTCATTAGATCATTTGTATCACTCATTTGTCAATCACTTTCATTCGTCTCATTAGACTGTTTGTAGCACTCATAGCTATAGCTCTAACTCAATTATTTCTTAATAATTGTTGTACTTCACAAGTCAAATTACGAAAATAACATATTGTGGTTTTGCAAATTTAAACCCTCAGATTATAAGTTCTTTATTTAATATGCGTAATATGAGTATGCGTTTAGAGTAAATTGTTAATCTTAATAAAAACAAACCATCAAGATTATTTATGTAGTTATTGAATACAATTACAATAACCAAATTACATGCATTGTTCGGAATAACTTTTGGACAGCATTTATAAGCATCGAGGGTGATTTTAGTTTAAAAATGAAATACGCTTTACAAACCTCATGTTCTTGTTTTTATGGAGTCTCATAATCGTACAAACATAAACATTTGCCTTGGAATCCATAAGTAGGAATGCCAAATTCGCAGTTGATTATTAAGTTGACAACTTAAAAAGGCTTAATTAGATCTATAAACACGAAGTAAAAAAACTCCTATACAATCATACACTTACAAATCTGATCTCTGAGCTTTCCAACAAGAAGTTAGGATTTGTGAGAGAGACTGAGAGAGAGATTTCTTTGTGCTGAATGCTGATCAATCTGGTGAGCCTTCATTAGTCTTGGAACAATTTAGAATACACAAAACATATAAATCATATGCCCTATAAAAGAATCCAAAATTCCAATTTTAAGGGAGTGAAGAATATACACGTAACGCAAATGAGAAACGGTCAACATTAACTAAACCTATTTAAGGATTGGAAAACATGGATTATATGTCCCCTTGTTCCTGCCTCGCTTCATCTTAAATAAGAAAACCATCACATAATTTAAGTCTCTACTCTTTAACACTGCATTTGATGGGGTGTTGAAAGTTTTGGTCTCATGGGAATTGCTTTGAATTGATTCAGATTGAATAATACGTGAGCTTTGTTTGTCTTTGAGCCACTCTTTGTGAAAAATTACAGGTAGAGAAGCTTAGGGCTTGTTTGGAAGTATACTCAAACCCAAATCATGATTCTGCTACAATGTTTTTTATCTCACAAAGAGTTTGAGTTCCAAAATTTCCTCTCTCAGAAAGTTCCCGGCAATAAACCCAAATCATGATTTGAGTATACCTTCCAAACGGTATCTTAATGCTTTTTGAGTACTTGCAGTAATTTTCTTTGATTTCAAGCATCGCACAAGGGGAGGAAAAAGCAAGAGGTTTTGGTTTTCTGATGGCAATGGTGGTTCTATCTCATCAACGTTGAAAAGTTTGGGAAGATGACCGTGGAGTTATTTGGTAGTGGAACTTGGTTGTGATGAAAAATGATGTACTTGAGATGTTCTCAACGGAACTAGAAAAGCTTTGTTCACCAAATAACTAATTATATAATGTGGTAATAGGGATAAGATCTGAGACGAGAACGGGTAACGACTGATTTGCATCCGATAGATTTGCACTACTACAGGAAACTAGAAGGGTAACCGAGAACAAAGGACTACAAACGAATGAAACTGAATCCTAGAGTAATCAAATTAAGTTAAAATGAACAAGATAATTCCTATAACGACTGTAACCTTCGTATACACCAAGCATAGGTTTGTAGACGGTTCTTGCAATCTCCATCACTAAACTAGGACAGAGAGATGTAAGTTCCCAGAAAATGTCCCAAAGAGTTCTTTCTCTCCTTGCTAAAAATGTCCTACAGTCCACAAACCAAAGTTCGACAATTTCATCGGTATTTTATGAAGAATGACCTCGTGGAATATGTATATCATAAAAGTGTCTTGCTTTACAATAGCGATGACTTTCAATCCGTGAAAACAAACATATAGTCATATACTAGAACCAGACTTTAATATCAAAAAATAAAATAAAATAAAATAAACCAGACTTATTCTTAGAATTCCATATCTGACCTCAAACAGCATTATCCGGAAACCAACTTCACAACAATAAAGATGGAGTTCAGCAGTATGAGAGGAACTCTTAAGTACTGCGTTGCGTAAATGAGGCCTATAATCTGTCCCTTTAAAGACTTTGCCTTGCCCCCTGAGAATTCCGAGAAGCTCCATCCTCTAGGCGCAAGGAACCGGTCCTCGTTTAGTATCGCTAGTGCATTTGCAAGGAGGAGGAAGCCCTCAAGTAGTGTCCACAAACCCATTTTACCTGAAACACGAAAGATCTATTTTCATACGAAGTTCAAATGACATTACTACGAATCTTTCTCCTTTCCCTCTTTCAGTTTCAGTACATCAAAAGCTCTACCAACAAGCTAAGATATGTCTCAATCTTTCAACAATACAGTTACCCATTTTTCTTTTCCACAATCACTATAATGGGGTTTTCACCATGGGAAGATAAGGACCCCGGCAAATTATTGAAAGTAAAAACTATCTTTTGAGTCATAAAGAGTGAGTAGTAATTAATAAAAGCATAATCAGCAAAAGAAACTATTTTTCGCAAATCAAAAGCAAGCCCCCCATTTTTTTAAGTAGAAGAAATATCTATTAACCAATGATTTCAATCAATGGTGGAAGATATCTAACCATTAAAATGTCTCTTTCTATCCAAAACGCAAATAAGGATAAATCATGTATCATAAAAATTACACATAAAAAATTTATCAAACTGCCTGAAAGAAGAAATGAGACATGAGGACAATTATATGAGAATGAAAAGCCAAATGCAAAACAGACCTGAAAAAAAAATTAAAAATAATAATTAGGATATAAATATTCTTATCTTGTTACCACAGTCAAATTTTCAGCATATGTATATGAAGGATTGCAATATTCAACCAAAGTTGATTTTTTATTTTATTTTTTATTATTGTAAGAGGGAGTAAGGAAGGAAGGCCTTCATTACTAGTCTCTTTTTAATACATAGCAAAGTAAAACACTTTTAGGGAATCAAAAACACTAAAAAACAGTAATAAAAATAAGACTGGTTGTAATAAGAAATAAGAGCGGTTATTGACTTTTGAAATAAAAGTAACTGATGAAATGCAAGGAAATTTTTGAAAATGTTTCATAATGTAACGGAGGGAAAAATTTTAATAACTGTATCCAAAAGTAATTGTCCAAGTTAGCAAAAATCTGCAAACAAGATAATAGTAATAAGATTTAACATTAAAAAGAGATTGAAATATATATTTTTTAAAATAATTATAAAGATGAGAAAGAGTAACTCATGAGGAAACTTAAGTAATGTAGCATTTAGATCTAAATCATTAACTTTTCTGTGATTTATGATAAGAACTATACGTAATCAATTAGAAGTTGTCATAATAACTAGACAATATGGGTAAAACTTTAAGAAAAAAACTATTGAAACGCCCATAAGGGAGACTGTTTAAACTCTTACCTGAAGAGACTAGTGAAACATAAGAGGAAAAAATATTACACTGACTAAAGAAAATTGTGACGTACGAGAAAAATATCAGTTGTAACAAAACAGAAAAAGAGAAAATCTAAGAGTAAAGTATAACTACGATATAAGACAATGACGTAAATTATTATATACAGATAAACAGTAACATGTATAGCCGAATTTGAGTCAATAGGAAAAAAATCAAATAGGTAAAGGAACAAGCATAAAACCTTAGCATAATGCAACGAAGTGCAGAAACGAACTAAAGAAACACCCAGATAAACAAGGATAAACTCAAAGATATTCCAGGAAAAAATATAACACATAGTGGAAATACATATGGATTACTGAATAAGCTCCAATCCAATCTAGTTACCAAACAAAGAAAGAGGAAAATAATCTTAATCTATACAAATCATTAAACCATTCATACTGTGCTTAATCCAAACACTAAATCTATACCTACTTTGGTCAGTATCGATACTACTATTATAGTATAGACATAAATTTGTCAGGACATCATAAAGAGAGTGTAGAAGTTTACTACTTTCTAAAATAACGGGATGATAATTAATACATTGTACCAAAACAATCAAATTATGGAAAGTAGTACATACTCTAATTGAATTACCCAAAGAAAAAAACAAATTTACATAAACAAACTTCTGAATGTCAAAACAAATTCTTAAAATAAAGCAAAATATGAACAAGCGATGGTTAAAAAACTTGTAAATAATACTTGTAAATCCATGAGATGAGACTCAAACCGAAAGGATCCAATTACTCATTAAAGGCAATGGTACGTTAGAACCAATCAAGGGAGATCGGAGATTTCACTCAATACCAAGCAAGAGTTGAACACAACTTTCAAGATGGGAGGTTCATTGAACTCGTCGATTGAAAGGTAAAGTAGAGCATATTTTCCATACTCAGAGCCAGAACAGAAGACAAAATTGATTCGATTTCGACGACAGATAAACCCCCACAAAGGTTATACGAATGCCGATGTTTTCTATTAAGTAATTAAGGTTACATAACACACTTAAGAGAGACAGAATTTGTTAGATTTCCCAAACAAACATATCGAAAGTTTCAACCAAATCAGAGAGAGAGAGAGAGAGAGAGAGAGAGAGAGAGACCTTTTCGGAATAGAGGCAAGGAACGCAGGGGCCGGAATGAGAGCAATCGAAGGTGGCGCTACTTCCTCAGAGGTTTCTTTGAAACTCAGCACAACTCTACCCGCAATTCCTCCGATTCAATTCGTGCCAAGGCCGGGCGTGAACGGAAAGTATTATTCCGAGATTAAAGACGACAACATTACCAGATTCTTAGACAAGAGCAGCGAAATTGAACAAGTAGATTTGCCAATTACTCTTAGTTGTACAAAGGAATATGAGTTTTTCCGCAGAGAAAATTTGATAAAAGAGACCGGAGCAAAACACAAATTGAGAAAGTAGTTCAGGCCCGTTCACTTCACCAATTCGAGTTTTGCTACAGTAAAAAGCTCTCATAAACAATCACATCTAACTTTTTTGCTACAGTAAAAAGCTCTCACATAAAATCACATCTCAACTCGAATTACAAACTCGAATCAGCGAAGTGAACGGACCATCAGTTTTTTTTTTATAATAAAAAAATCATGACGTGTATTTTATGTGGTAAAAAATGGGTCCTATTAGTCTAAGTGTATGGGTTATTTTAAAAAACTCTCTCCTCACAAAACCGACCGCTCGACCCTCTCTCCCCCCGACTGAGCTCTCCTCACGACCGACCGACCCTCTCGTCGGTTTTTCTCTCCGATCTCCTCTCACTGACCGCCGGCTTTTTTCTCCGATCAGTCACCAACCTCACGACCGACCATCACCGACCGCCAGCTTTCCTCTCACCTGTTTCTCTCTCTCTCGCCGAAGTTCTCTCACCGGCCGATCCACTCTCTCCGATCTCTCTCGTCGGCCGACCGACTACCTCACCAAAAACCGACCTTCCTTCCCACTAAGACCGACCAAAAACCGATCCCGACCACTCACCAAAAACCGACAACCTCCTCACCAAAATCTGACTAAAAACCGGCGACTTTTAGACTGAAATGGCATCACAAAACAACTCTTCTTCCTCAACTAAAACGGTCATTTCCCGAACACTTGTCGACGAGGCAACGGAATATACTCATGTAATATTCTTGTTTTACTTTTTCTTATACATTTTTACAAGAACAAAAACTTAATATAAGCAACATTTGTCTGTTCATAGTCGGTTCTTAGTCAGTTTTGGTTTTGGTCTGTTCGCAGTCGGTTCTAGGTCGGTTTTAAGTCGGTTCTTAGTCGGTTCTTGTCGAGTTGGTCAGTTCTGGTGGATTTTGGTCGGTTCTAGGTGAAGGTCGGTTCTTGGTCAGTCGTTGGTCGGTTCCGGGGTCGGTTCGGGTCGCTTCTTGGTCAGTTTTGGTCGGTTTGGTCGGTTTTGGTCGGTTCCTGTCGGGTTTTGGGGTCAGGTCATGGTCGGTTTAGTCAGTTCTTGTTTAGTTTCATGGTATATTCTAGTCGGTTCTGTCATCTTGGCCGGTTCTGACCGATGTGTTTTTTCTTTTTTTTCAGTATGACCTCTCGAAGTACAACACATATGAACTTCCTGGGATTGGACATCTAAGGATGATCATGGATCCTATGCGGGAGTACTTCCCAGTGAAAGTCACTATGAAGTCAAAGATCGAGGCCCTGGAGGTAATAAGGCAGAATCTAGACCCCGAAATGGAAATGTCAATTTTCAAGGAATCTGCCTTCGGACATTTTATTTCGATGTCTGAAAATATGATCTATTTTGGAGTGTTGACACACTATCTGCTTTTGAGGCAGATAGAAACAGAAAAGAGACATGAGTTGTGGTTCATGGTTAATGAAAAATCAACTAGGTTCGGAATGAGGGAATTTGCTTTAATCACTGGATTGAACTGCGGGGAAACCCCAGAGCCGGACGTGGTGTTGAAAGCTTCGAAGAATATAAGATTGTTGGAGCATTTTAAGTCCCACGTAGTACTTGTTGCTGATTTAAAGAAATTGCTCACAGGGAAGAAGATAAAAGGTAGCGATAAAGCAAAGATCGCTATCATTTATTTTTTAGCACAAGTATTACTATCTGGGGACGAGAAGAAGACCGTCCCACTGGATTGGCTATCTTACGTTGACGATTTAGAATTCTTCAACAACTATCCATGGGGCAGGGTGTCTTTTGAATGCACTATGCGGGCTTTGAAGAAGAACTTGAAAGAGAAATTCTAAAAATGGGTTCAGAAAGGACGTAATAAGAGCATTAAGGAAACCTACTCAATATGCGGGTTTTCTTAAGCCTTCCAGGTATGTCATACAGTTATATGCATAATTTTTCATGGCCTTATAGTAAATAATACCTTGTTTTTTGTTTTACTAGACTTAAAAAATTGGTTTAACGCAGGTTTAGGCATTCGAAACATTTCCAACCATCGGCGCCACATTTACAAAGATGGTTGATGGACGTCTTCCCAGAATCCTCAAATGGGAGGCACGCCGGGTTTCATTGGTCGAGGTTAGACAGATAGACGACCTCATGCAAAGTGGTGAGGTAAGAGTTTAAATACAATGTTTTTATAGGTATTTTTTTACAAAATAGGCATATTTGTTTTTTTTTTAAATATGTTTCCACCTAAATAATCATTGAATGTGTGTTCATTTAATATACAGGGAATGGCCGTACCAATTCTTTATCCCACTGAGGAGGAAATGAATAGTATGTGCATGAGGTTGTATCTGCCTTATGCCGACCAAGAAAATCCTAAGATTGACCAGCTTGCATTGTTTTTGGACTCTGGTGCAAGAATGGTCAATGTCCAGCAACCGAAGCCTCCCAAACAATTGGCTCGTCTCCAACTACTTCCCCAACAACAACAGCAACTTTCCCAACAACAACAATAACAACAACAACAACAACAACAACAACAACAACAACAACAACAACAACAAC